GCGCAAAGATTAAAACGAACCCATTGCTTTGGAACTCCTCAGTGAAAGGGGATGATAAGAGAGGGCTGAGATCAGGGATCAGATTTCAGGGGTAACAAATGAATAACCAGAAAACGGAAGGATGCTGAAAGGGTTATCAAAAGAGAGCGAGCTGGTGAGCACGTCCAAACAGCTTCTCTTTCAAAAAAAAAAGAGGAAAGGTGTTTCTCTTGTAGCAGATACAGACACAAAGAGCTGTTCAGACCACTCTGCACCCACCAAGACCCTGGAAAGACAGAAGCCTGCCCCAGAACTCTAGTGGAGCTTTGTAAACTGTCGGAATCTGTGGTATTGATGATTCTGAGATTGTATAAAGTCTCTGTCTTTCTGCCCCGTTGCCAAAGAAGAAGCCATAATTCATCTGTGCTGTTTTCCAGGTTGTTTATTCTTGCTTATCTCTAACATGTTCTGCTGCCCTGCCGCAGGTCTGTCCTGCAGGGCAGTGTGCGGGGCACTGCCCCCAGTGGGATGTTACAAACATTATATACCAGAAACTATGTGTGCTATATTTACAATAATGTGCCAATATCTATCATCTACGTTGAACAGTGTGTCCCCAGCCCAAACCAATAGAAAAATGCCAACACTACAGTGAAACATGGAGGGCATGAAGAAGGAGGAAAAGGACAAGATACACCCAATTTCCTCCATCTTGTCCCCTCTGAACCCCTAATCTAGAAACCTAAAATTTTACTTTTGCACCCGTGCCACACTTAATTATTACTCATATCAAACACTCAGAGCTTGTAATTCATCCTTTAAGACTGAAAACTCTTTTCCATGGACAGAGATCAGAGACAGTATCTCTCGGGGCTCTGTACAGGGGGGTTCCTGATCCCCTGCCAGGGTCCCAGACCTTCCAGGGCAGCCAGAGGGAAGCCCTGGATTCCCACAGTAAACTGTTAGTCAAGTACAGTTTCCATGCTGACACATTCCTGGGAGCTGTATGTCCTCCTGTTTGGTGCTCTGGCTGGGAAGCAATCAGCACTGGAAAGACTTGGGGAGTAGACAGAGCTCATGTAGCAGGCTCTGGCTCAGGCTGGATGATGTAGTTTCAATATAGGAACTCTCAAAGCCTCCCTAAAGACAGAGTTAATATAAAAGTCCATATTCTTGCAGTGCAGAAGTCTTGGAAAGATTGTCCCCACCTCTGGAGAGGAGTATGATTCAGCAAAAGAGCCTTAACAGAAGCCCTGCAAAGGTAAAGTTCACAGCTCTGCAGATGTCACAAAATTGTTGGGGTAATTGTGTAATCCAAGTCGTGTATTTCCCCTGCCAAGACATGGGCTGTTCATATATTCAGAAATACAGTTGGAGAGAGGCATCAGGGAGCTTTTCCTCTTTTCGTGGATGGTGAGGAATGAGATGTCACTTGCTGTCTTTCACCCAGCAGAGATTGCAGAGGGGTGTTTAACTTGGAGGAGGAATGCAGAGCTATGGCTGTTCCAACAAGTGCACAATTAACAGGCTTCTGCCCATCAGCTGGAAGACCTGTGTGGAGCTCTGAAAGAGACTAAAAACAGGCAAGGAGGATCCTGGTGCCTTTTCCCTCCTACCTCAAGTGGGGTGAGCTGGGCTGATTTTGATTCTGTGTTTGAAAATAAAGATAAGCCTAAGGAAAGGGAGGACGAAAGAGCTGCCTTTGGGAATTTGTTTTGCCATTCACAGCCGATGAACCTGTCTACTCACGCATTTGGGCACATAGTAGTTAATACAAGATTCTCAATAATAATAGTTTGGGGGCTCTGAAAAGCCAGCAGGTGGGAGCCAGATAAAGGTAAGGTACCTGTGAAGGTAAACTGTGACAACTCCTCAGATGACCCCAGCCATCTCTGGCAGGGCTATAGCCTTGGAGTCCTGTCTACAGCTGTTCTTGGGGCCAGAGAGCTCCCTTGAGTTAGCACCAGACACCAGTGCCATCATCAACTTCCAAGGGAGTTCTTTAGCACCCACCTGAGTGGTGGATAGGCATGATGGCAGGAGTTTCCTTCTTTGGAACTTCTGGATTTGGAGCCTGTATCAATCCCCTGGTTTTGCACCTTCAGTGACTCTAGGCAGACCTAAGGCTGTCTGGGACCATTGCAATGTCAGGAGTTTTAAAGGCTGTACTTGGGATCATAACACTTGGGGAAGAGTTAGAATATTTGACAATTTTCCTGGAACCTAGTCTGAAGAAATATTTTTAGGCTTGCTTTACAGTAAAAGTTACCTTGAAACATTTTTTTTGTTAGGAAAATACTCTTGGAGTTTTTTTATCATTGGTTATACTGGGACAAGGCCTCATGATGAATGCAGTTATTTTGGTGTCAAAGTGTCAAAGTATCATACAGCTCTTTTTTCCACAAAGAGTTGTAGTGTTTTCCCTGTTCTAATATATTCTACAATGCTCTACCTTTGTAGGTAGATGAGATGTTAATGGCAGAGACTTCATTGCAGCATGGTGAGGGCGAGCAGGAAGGTAATTAGAACCTTGCTTTTCATTGTCCTTATATAATGCCGCTGTGGGTATTTTCCACCCCAGCTGTGGCTCCCAGCCTGCCCAGTCTTACCTTCCATTGTGGATTTTGGATCCCACAGATTCAGGGATGTGTGGCAAGATACCACAGGATATCTGTTCATTTTCTGCAGAGGCAGACCTGTAACTACAGATTTTGTCTGCACAGGAAGTCAGGGATACTCCTCAGTCTTCTAATCAGTTTTCTAGAGCCAAGACCCAAACAATGGATTCTTAAAACCATCAGTTTTTCAAGGATACTTGAAATCTGAACTTTTATTTCTCCCCAAGTCTTGTTACCATAAGTGTTAGCACTTATGGTAAATTAGATCTGTGTTATAGCATCAGAAATCACTTAATACATTTCAACTGTCCTGTGCAAGCACCTGCCCCCTGCAGAACACAACCACTGTGAGTGTGACTCTTCTCTGGAAGAGCTGGAGGTCAGTGTGCTTCTCTTGGGCTCTGGGATTTTGCTGGCTGGGTGGCTGTGCTTTGCTCAACCTTGTAGGAGGGCTCAGTCATGTGGGAACCTTCCCTCAGCGTGAAGGGAACTGCGTTCCTGGAAATCCCAAACTAACAGAGTCATTCCTCAACTCCTATCAGGTGAGATTTCCAAGCAGGGAAATCAAGGGAGGAAAAAGGAACTGCAACAGCATTTCTTAGGCTGTGTGTTATTCTTCCCCAGCAGTTCTTGACAAATTCTGCAAAATTACTTCATAAATCCTTTCCCTGAGGTGAGAGTATTCTTGCACTCTGGAGAAGCAGAAATCTCTGCAAGAGCTCAGTAGGCATTTCACACCTGATGGAGTATTAACAGAAATATTTAAGGAATAGTAAAAAAAACCCCAAACATTCTTTAGGGTTTCATCCCATATCCAGCAAAGATACCATCAGGGATCTTATACTTGAACAATCCTTATGATTGCACATTTAGATCTTCTGTGATTCCTTGGGGAGATAAGAAGACATAATAGCACACATCCCCTGAAGTAACTGGTAGGGCTATCAAACCGCTGTCTCACCACCTTTGGGATGCTGAGTCACAAATCCTTTTGTTGAAGGCCTGTAGAAGACCTGGCATGCTGGGACCTGTTAGCACCACAATGACAGGATTATTAGTATTACTCCTATTAACACTGCTACTGCTACTAATATGTTAATGAGTCTTATGTTAATAGATTAAGAATGAATTATGTACTGAGGTAATGTATGTTACACTTGATTTCCAGTGAAGGTCATTTGCAAATGTCATGCATGCCTTGCTAAGGGGGTGTATTTCCCTGCTTAGGAACTCCAGAGCTAGAGAAACATTTGGCATTGCTCCTGTTTTCCTAGAAGTTTTCCACAGAGCTGCTGTTTGTAAAATGGTGCTGTTCATTTTACTCTTGTTTTTGTTAATGAAATAAGAAAGAACCCAATTCTATATTTTTGAGGCCCATATTTTCCCATTAGTTTTGAAAGGAACTAGAAAGATAATGAGAAACGCAGGGCCAGTCCTCAAATATGCTCTTTGAGATGGTGGGTGAGGGACAACAGAGTGTTCCTCTTTTTGACTCCTGCAATTCCAGAGAAAATTCCCAGAGAAACTACTTTTGCACAATAATATTCATATTGTACCCCCTGTGGCCTGGACAGTGTACTTGTTGTCCACAGGAGTATTCCTCAGAGTTGTCACAAGGATATTTGATTTATATTGCTGTTTTGAAATCTGATGCTCTGATTGGATTTTTGGAGGAACTGTCTTCCCTTGCAGGGGAAATTGGAGGGAAGGAGGGAAGGAGGGAAGGAAGGAAGGAAGGAGGGAGGGAGGAAGGAAGGAAGGGAGGGAGGGAGGGGGAGAAAAGAAAGAAAAAAGAAAGAAAGAAAGAGAAAGAAAGAAAGAAAGAAAGAAAGAAAGAAAGAAAGAAAGAAAGAAAGAAAGAAAGAAAGAAAGAAAGAAAGAAAGAAAGAAAGAAAGAAAGAAAGAAAGAAAGAAAGAAAGAAAGAAAGAAAGAAAGAAAGAAAGAAAGAAAGAAAGAAAGAAAGAAAGAAAGAGAGAAAGAGAGAAAGGGAGAAAGGGAGAAAGGGAGAAAGGGAGAAAGGGAGAAAGGGAGAAAGGGAGAAAGGGAGAAAGGGAGAAAGGGAGAAAGGGAGAAAGGGAGAAAGGGAGAAAGGGAGAAAGGGAGAAAGGGAGAAAGGGAGAAAGAGAGAGAGAGAGAGAGAAAGAAAGAAAGAAAGAAAGAAAGAAAGAAAGAAAGAAAGAAAGAAAGAAAGAAAGAAAGAAAGAAAGAAAGAAAGAAAGAAAGAAAGAAAGAAAGAAAGAAAGAAAGAAAGAAAGAAAGAAAGAAAGAAAAAGAAAGAAAAAGAAAGAAAAAGAAAGAAAAAGAAAGAAAAAGAAAGAAAAAGAAAGAAAGAGAAAGAATGACAGGTTGTGATAGTATTATGTTACCGATAGGATAAACTGACAAAACAGCCTACTGTGACTTGGGGGAGTTTAATTTTGTACATTTTGGCAACTTCTTAAAGCAGAAAATGAGAGCAGTACTGTCAACAGGGCTTTTGATATTCCTTGGTGTTTATCCTAGAGATGAAAGTGCATTCTAAATGCGGGTGGAAGGCAGCGGCCAGATCCCGACTCTGGCGACCAGAGGTGATAAACACCGCGGATCTGCCGCCCCCCGTAATAGTGGAGAGGAAACGCTTCTCCTGTTGCTCAGCATGCTGGGAGATTTCCTGTTTTTTCCATTCTGCCTGCAAGACAGAAGATCTGTAAAGGGATTTGTTTTTCCTGATTACCGCAATAACCTAGTGGATAGCCAAGTCACTGCTGTGGTACATGGATACCCAGGGTCATGTTCCTGCTCTTTCTGGGTCACTGTTCTGCAGAACTGCTCTGGCTGTTACCTGCAAATGTCCTTATATGCAGTGTGAAGTAACTGCTATGGGAAAGCAACATTGAAGAATGGCCTCTTGCCTGGGGGTTAAGATATCCCTCTTGGATTTAGGAGATCCAAGTTCAACTCCCTGATCTGTATCAGGCCTTCAGAAGTGCATCTTCTGGCTGCCGAAATTGTTGGCTACTCTAGCTGGGTTTGTTTTGCCCAGAAGATTCCTCCTGGACCAGAGAAACCTTTTCCCAGTGGAAGTTTTGCTAAGCTAATGTGCGTAAGTAACCAGAAAAACATGTTGGAGGTGACAACAAGCTATCAAAACCAATTCTCTGAACAAATAAGGGTTCAGACATGTTTGCCAGCAAACCAAATCAGTCGGTGTGCCATTGTATTCTTTTGCTGAGATTTCATGGAAAGAGCTATAAATTGTGGTTCTGATTAGCCAGCAAGAAAGGTATCTGTCAGGCAAGTTCTCCCACACTTACTCATGTGCAGATTTCATTCCACTGGTTGTCTCAACAGTTTTGCTGGACCATTCCTGTCAGGCTGCTCTGCCCTGCTCCTCTCTGCCTCCAGCAGTGCTATTAAGGGAAGGAGGGAGTTGTGAATTCCTGCAGTCTTTGGTGAGGTACAACTTCCTTCCTTGCTCACAGCTAATGAGAAAGGCTTCACCTCTTCTCCAGACCTTCTGGCCTGTTTATTTATAGAGGCCAGTATCCAGACACTATGGGGAATGCTGCAAACCAGACTTGGACCTGGGATGTAGCTGGTCCAGCTCAGCTGCACAGTAGAGTTTTTGTTGGGTGGAGGCATCTCAGTGTCCTTCTTGGGACATAATATCTCACCTCTAAATAGATGCTCTGCCCTGCAGGGAAAGGTGATTCTCAACAGAAGTGAGGCTGGTGGAACCAGGCTTATAAAAATATCTGAGAAAGGGAAGAAAATAACTGCTGTTTTTCAAGAAGATGCACTTTTCTATTTTAATTTTTTAAGGCTGTGATAAAATTAATGTTGTCTATGATGTAAAGCTGAAGGGTTGACCAGAACTTCCTTTGTGGTCAAGCTCTTTTTCTGTTGATTGATTTTAAGTCCTCTAAATTTGTCAGGCTCACAAGTGCATGGTGACTTCAGTTATAAGAGAATGTTTGTGTCTTTAAGGAAAAATACAGCAATCCCTCCTCCTGCTTGCCCTTCTCAACCTTGCAAGGAAACCAGCACTTGACCAGGATATTTTTCCTCCCTTTGTGGAAAATGTTGATTAAATACTCAGAAAAAAATAGCAATTAAATCCCTCAGACTCCTAAATCTCAAAAATCTTTAATGGGGAAACTGCTGATTATAGAATAGTTGTATAGTTTTGGCTGAGAATACATATTGGCATTTTTTGGTAGAAGTTCAAAACCCTAAGAATGTCTTGAAAAAATCATTTTCTGATTGATAAAAAGAGATCTTTTATCAAACACTTCTATTCAGGTTGTTCTGCTGTTGAGCTGGTTGAGCAAACCATAGCTGTGTCACTGAAAGGCACATGGGGGACTTTTAATGCTCTTTTTTTTGTCTTGAGCCAGGAATTGTTTCAGTTGAGCTTTTTGGTCATTCTTCACACAGAGCAGACACCAGAGTTTGGGCTGGGATCATCTGAGTGGTCAAGTCCAGTCTCGTCACAATGCACTGCTGCTGTTGGCCCCTCAGGGTCTGGCACCGAGAGCTCTCTGCATTTTTGGGGCACATCTTTGCTTAGCTGGTTTTTCTGGGGTTAAAATTCCTGCTCTTATTAATCCCCACTGACGTACATTGCTTTCCTGCTGACTCAAGTTTGTTCCAAAAGCAGTGTGCAAGTGTTGTGTGAGGAGATACAAAACATGAAGTGACCAGGGCAGATGACCAGGTTATGGGAAGATGGTGACAAGAGCAGCAGAGCTCATCTGAACTCTGTGTAGTGAAGTCACAAAGGACTCACTCCTTGAAGAACACAGAATTACTCATATTCCTTCAAAATCCATGCCTGCTCACGTAGCTGGCTTTTGAATGGAGAAATGTATGGGATCTGGATAATGAAGGGAATTCAGGGAGGAGAAAACAAGCAATATGAATATGGGAGAGATTTGCACGTGCATGTAAATCCTGTACTGTTTCTCTTGCTCATGGGAATGCTGGCTGCTTCTCTAGTGCATTCCCATAGTCCCCAGTTAAGAGGAATTCTGAGTCTGATCCCACTCCCCTCTGAATGGGTCTTGCTTCTGGCTGAAGATTGAGAGAATAGATGGATATTGGCAATCTGCAAGAGAAGAGGTGGGGCCACGTTTTGATGTCATTTGAGTTCATTGACACCCTTTAGGATATGGACTTCTCTACTTTGTTTTCCCTCAAGGAAAAGAGATACAGAGAAATTAGAGAAGCTCCAGTATGTGATTGCACTGTCAGTCAGCAGCAGAATCAGCCATGTAGGTTGCCTGTGGGGGTATTTCCTCATGTTGGCTCAGTCTGACTGTTGTTGAAGTCAGTTTTTCCAGTGATCTCTATTATGGGAGCCAAGGTTGGCCATTCCTCGTCCACATCAGTTGGCAAGGGGCCCCTATGCTGGTCAGGAGTACAGCTCCAGAGTAAACTAGATGCTCACAAGGTAGTTTTCAGTGGCACTATTGAAAACAGGGAACAGAAGGGAATGAGATTTCTTTCCACGGACCTTTGTTTTAAAGGGTATTTTGGGGTACGGGTTCACCTCTCCTTGGGTCTTTTGCCAGCAGGTGGGAAGTTTCAAGTTGTCCCTTTCTGAGAAGGGCTGAATCGTCCACCCTAAAGCATCCCTTAATGCAATTAAAACCAGCAGGACTGCTTCTCCAACACTGGGGCCTCTGATACTGGGAGGGGAAGTGGTGGCTCTTCTTTGAAGTCCCACCTACGTGAACATCAGTGGCAGGACTTCAAAGGGAAGCTGCTGTTTCCTGTTGGAGCTCAGCCCTGGTGCTCAGCACTGCTAACAAAGCAGTCGGACTGGTTGCAAAGGCACTGATCCAGCAGAGAATTTAAGCACATGCTTAAGTCCCTCAGGACTTATCCACATGATCTGCTGGGTTGGGACTCACCTCCACTGGAGACTGGACTGATGGTCAGGGTTGTGTCTCCCAGGTTGGATTTGCAAGGGGAAGAGCGAGGTAAAGGAGCCTGTCACAAATGGGTGGATGGAGCTGGAACACTGGGCTCACCATTCGTTACCTTGGGGCAGCTGGGCAGTGGCAGGAGGGGGAAACACCACAGGCCATACTGTGGAACTCAGCAAACAACCTGGAGATAGACAGCAGGCCACTATCAGCAGATGCTTGTAAATCACAGATTCAGAGCTAGCCCAAATCAGCATCGCTGAGTTCAGGTGAGAATCTGGCCCAGTAATTAGAGCTGTAAAGGTGGCAGTCTTTTTGCAAGCAGGTAGGAAATGCTAAAGGCACAATCATTCAGCCCCCCTTGTACTGGATAATATTTTATTTTCATGTAGCTCCTCTGCTGTCTGTGGAACTGCTTGCAGGCTAACGGATGGCAGCATGGAGATGTAATTTTATAATAGGCATTATTTAGGTAATTCATATAATTTGTACCAATTTATTCTCTCAGTTTTTGTCCTGAGGCTACAGACGTTGTGGCCGTAATCTGCAGCTGATACACAGGTACCACCCTGCTCTTGCCCTGTTCTCAGCATCACATCATCCCCTCTTTAGCAGTGCAGCATAAGAGCTTTTCCCTCATCACAACCTACATGGACCCTCATGGTTGCCTCATGTGTAGCAATTAAAAGATGTCTGGGATATGTTCCATCCTGGAAGTGTGGATAGAAGCCTTTGGTGTCTGGGATATGTTCCATGCTGGGAGCATGGATAGAATCCTTTCATAATTGGAAAGGCTGCTCTTCTTTGCAGAACAGATGTATTGGATTTATTCCCACAGCCTACTGAACACAACCTGAATGAACAGGTCACAAAGCCTATGAAACCCCAGTAGGTTCCGGGTCCTGCTCCCTTATGTTGTCCTGTTCCTAGGGTAGTACAGCCTGCCAAACCCGATTGTAGGCTGCAGTTTTCCTCCACCTTGCTCTTCTCCCTATAGGGGAACTCACTCCCTGGTTGTTAATCCCCTGTCCCAAGTAAGTGAATTGAAAACACTGCATTTCCTGGAGATTATTCTCTGAGACAAACTAGAAGCATCTTCATTTGGATTATGAAGTATCTATGCCACCAGTTTGGGACGTCATCAGCAGACATCTGCTCATTTGTCCATGTTTCCAGAAGAAACTTCCTGTGTATCCTCACAGTGTGGATGTAAACTGAGTCATTTTCAGAGCTGACTGAAGTAGCAAGGCTCAGCTCTGCTGAGCTGCTCAGTGATGTGCCCACGGTCCTGTGGCACTGCCCAGACGAGGTAAGGCCCCCATGGCTCAAGTGCAGGATGCCACTACAGTGCTAAGGTTACTGCATGATGGCTCCTTGGCATGCTCCTCGTGGATCAGGCAGGGGTCTCCAGTGTGATTTGTCTGGAAGTGCCCAAACACAGGGAGTTGACATGCCTTCCTTTGTGTGGGAGGTTGGATGAGGCAGTGGTTGATTCTGCTCATGCCTGAGTGCTCTACAAGTGCTCTCAGTTCCTGAAACTGAGTCTGGTCACTTCACCTAAGTGAAGAGTGAAGCTGGTGACCTCAGAGACTTATAAAAGTTAAACCCCAGCATTCCTGCTCCTGGAAAATTCACAAGAAGCAACTGATGTTGCTTCTTGGGAAGGAAGCCTTATGTTGTGACTGAGGCATGGGACTCGAGCAAAAAAACTCTTTGCCCCAGGTGTCTCAGGTGACCTTGCAAAGTTCACTTGGTCTTTTTTTCTTTTGGTCTCCCACCTGTAAATTAGGCTAATAACCTCTTGCCCATGTGGCTGCTAGACAGGTAAGGGTGTATCTCATTGCATGTTGTATAGGTACCAGATTTGCTCTTGAGCAGGATTATCCTCCAAAGAGAAAATATAATAACCAGTTGAGACAGGATGGCTTTTTGGAAGGACTTCTTGCAAAGGCTCTGTGGATTCAAAGAATGTGCATTTTTTAATCTTCTTCATTTGTGTGGTTCCTGCCCATGAGTTAGTACTAAAAGGGTTTTGTCCGATTCAGGGTGTACATGCAAATATTTCTATTTGAATAATACTGGAGAATAAATTTAGAAATGTTTGAAGAAGGCATGAATGCCTCAATCTGCTAGGTGGAAAAATTACTACTTTTTGTGGGTAACCCAACCTGTTTAAGTTGCTAAAAACATACCTGACTTTAAAAAAAAAAGAGAAGAAGGAATCGCTGAAAAGAGAGCTTTTTAAAAAAACAACTCTCTTCAGATTTCTAGTTTAATATTTCAGTATGCAACAGTATTTTCATTACTGCAGCTTTTTTGGGTAGAGGTGGGGGAAATTAAAATATATTAAAGAACTCTGGAAACCACTTTCTATTTGTAAAACATGTTGTGTGTGTATCATAACACCTACAGTACTTGTAGCTCTGCCAGATAGTGCATTGACTGCCAGAATTCTCCTTGCTAAATGACATTATACTACTTTGTGGGTATTGAAAACAAATATTTTGAGGAGCAGGAGCATTCTCATCCATAAAACATTCGTCACACTTGCACTATTCAGTCATAGCCTTTTATTTGAAGGGTGCTGCATTTTTCAGCTGCTTGCCATGAGTGGAAGGATAGGTTTGAGGAATGTTTTGCTCTCCAGCTGGTCTTTAGTGTGTATTTTTTGCAATCTAGCAGCCCCTAGGGGCTCTGGAAGAGATGAGGGCTTTGGGATACTGGGCACCATATGGACATGTAAGTGAAGGACAGTACTGGGAATGAAAAGTTTGATGGTAGTTTTCAGAAGCGCAGCCCCAGAGCAGCTCTTCTTGCACAAGGAGGTTTTGGGAGGGATGAGAGATTGCCCAGCTGGAGCAGGGAGTGAGGTCAGGCCCGGTGCAGCCATGAGGCACTGCAAGGGGCACTGCTGGCACAGTGCCTGTGCCTGATGCTGGAAATGACGGTGATGGGAGAGCTGCACTGCTGGCTGGCAGCTGTCACTGCTGCTGGATAGGTGATGCAGAGGCTGCAGGAGATGCAGGGACACTGCTGATATCTGACTGAGGTTCCCAGTTAACCCCGTTACCCACACCTTGTATGTTTTGAGGGTGGCACAGGGGTGCTTCCTTGCCAACATGAGATGAACCCTGACACATCCCTCTTGTAAAAACCTGCAGAAGAGGAGCGAGGAAGTAGAAAACCAGATTAGTGTCTCTGAGGTCTCCTTGGTTCTGCTGTTGGAACAGCCTCCACTGGGGTTTTGGTGCTGCTCATGAAGCCAAGCTGCCTTAGACTGCTCTCACTTACTCCAGGGTTATGCTCCAGCCACAGCCTGGTGCATTCCTGTGCCAGAGCCCAAGAGGAGCAGGGAGCATTGCCTAATTCCCATTCCGTGCCCTGGTGGCATCAGCACATTGCAAGCTGCACTTGCCAAGCTCTAAAGTGGAGACATTTGCTGACATTTTATATTATGTTTCAGTGGCACTCCTGTGTTTGTTTGGCATAAAAGCCACGATTAAAATGCAAGCTAATTAGTAGCTACTTACTAATATCTCCTGGATTTTTAATCATAATAGACAGATGCGATCAGTTTTCACAGGTATAAAGAGTAGTGTCCTGCTAAAAACTGTAGCATGCTTTAATCCACAGTTCAGCAGTTTGCTGTGACTGGATAGACCTGTTGGTTTTTAGAATTTCTTATTAGAGGTGGATGATTAAAATAGAAAGGAAATAGAAAGACCTTTTAGAGCCAGTTAGGAAAAAAATCTTCAGGAATGGACTTATCCATTTTTTGGTTTAGTTTTTTTCCCCCCCATCCTTCTAGAAATGACACTATCTGA